AGCTCCCCGCCCCCCCCCCCACACACACACACACCAAACCCTCCCTTCTTGGTAACCTGGGCACATGTGTGTGTCAAGATCTACTCCAAAATATCCAGTTGCTAAGAGATTTAAAATATTGCACCAAGCGGAGATCCCTTCCTTCTTTTCAATTGTTTTTAAATCTCTTCATCACCTGGGTTCTCCTGTTTTTTCTTCCTTTTCTCCTCATTCCTTTTTTTTCTGATTTCTTCCCCTTGTTTTTACTATTTTAGTCAAGCACCTGCCCTCCTCCTAAATTCAGCATTTTATTAAAAAATATAAACATCTAGAGACATGAAAGAGTTGCTCTGTTGAGAAGATGGATTTTCAACCTTTTAATCTCTGGCTCCCACTTGCTAAAATGTGACTCCCAGCTCCATGTTCATTTTGATAGCTCTACCATCCCCCTCCCCAAAAGAACCATATTTATAATATATATGCATGCTCTGGTACCCACAGCTTATTAGGATAGGATTTTTATGAACTTTACGTTGTTGTTCTCATTTGCATCATCAAAGCATTCTTGTATTACAAGAAAGAGATACTAGATCAGAGCTTTTCAGATAATTTGACTGAATATTAGCTTTTCATAGAGGCTAAATAATTGGTACCAATTTATGTCCTTAGCATATAGTATTAGTGTGAAAAATGATATTAGGCTGAACCAATATAATGTTTCTTTCCATTATATGTCAGATATTAACACTTGGCTGATTCTCTGGTTTGATGGGATTTAAACTTGCAGCATTGAAATGTCAATAACATTCATCCTAAGGACATTTCAAGTATAAAATTGTCAAAGACCTTTAAAGTGAGATTAGAGAGGCTCACGATTTGTTTGATTGCATGTGCTGAGTCATTCTTTGTGCTTTGATGAGTCAGCAGTTGAAGACTAAGTAAATGTATTTCTCTTCAACGCCCACTTCTGTTCTTCAATGCGCCTCAACAGAACCTCAAAGATGACTGCAACTTGGCGGTACTACTAGTAAATTCTTTCCTCTGATCTATTTTAATAACTTGCTTGATCCATAACTTCCCTCTGTGATTGTAGGACCAAACTGTAGGTGATAGCACTGGACTAAGTTTGCAAACTTTCCAACCTTCTAGGAAATGCCCCAGAAGCAACAGAATTCACAGACAGAAGCAAAACACAGGGCACTACAGTTCGGACAACACAACGAGGGCGTCCACACGGTTGATCTGAAGGGAGCATGTCGCACAGTGAGTGGCCGGACCGCCGAGAGCTTGGACTACACATACAGTATTCTAGACAAAAGAGTAAGACAAGAGATCTACACATGTTGCCTTGCATTTGTGGTAATCTACACCAATGAAAACACGTCCTACAGCTATATTTGATTATGTATGGATATATTTGAAATAGTATACATTGTCTTGATGTTTTTCTGTAATGTAAATAAACTATTTATATCACACAATATAGTTTTTTCTTTCCCATGTATTTGTTATATATAATAAATACTCAGTGATGAGAAAAAATGGCATTCTTAAATTTGCGGTATCTCATAACTGTCAATACGATCAAGCCAGTGCGATCTGTGCAGGCCCAGTATTTCATCTCTCTCCACATATTGAGGCAGAGCATTCGTTTATACAGGACTCAGTGGCTAGGTTTTGAGTGATTCCAAGACCAAGGGAAATAGTGGTTATTGGAAAAGAGAAAAAATAATTTACTTTATATTGAGTGAGGATAAAATATTTCAGATCTTTGAATCATCTCTATTTTATCAACTTTCTTCCCTGGTCCTCCATTTTCATCCCCAGAGCAGAAAAATCTCTGGCATATAAATTCAATCAAAGAAGAAGGGAAAGGAAAGTGTTTTATCACTCATAACAGAGACGGGGAAGCATTTATTGGTTTTTATTTGTGAAGCATCTCAGAATCTCCCAGTTAAGTGCACATATCTGAGGGTCCTGAACAAGTTACATGTTAGGAATACACAGAGCACACAATCTATTCCATTTACGGGGTGGAATTAGCAACTATGGGAAAATTTTAATAACACCATTAAATGTGAAACCCCAAAATCATGAATTCTTTGAAGCCCCTTGCTATCTTTATAGTATATAGTTCTTTAAAAAGAAGTTGGAATCACAACCAAATACCTCATGAATAGTTGTATGATTAATGTAGCACTATTATTTGAAATGAAATGGAACTAAGATGATGAAAATCCTATATAATAAAAGGCTAATATGCAAATCGACCGAACAGCAGAACGACTGGTCGCTATGATGCACACTGACCACCAGGGGGCAGTTGCTCAATGCAGGAGCTGACTCCTGGTGATCAGTGCACTCCCACAGGGGGAATACCACTCAGCCAGAAGCCGGACTCATGGCTGGCAAGCACAACAGCGGTGTAGGGAGCCTCTCCTGCCTCCGTGGCAGCGCTAAGGATGTCCAACTGACGGCTTAGGCCCACTCCCCAGTGGACCTAAGCTGTCAGTTGAACAACCCTTGAAGGCTCCTGGACTGCAAGATGGCACAGGCCGGGCTGAGGGACCCCCCTCTCCAAGTGCATGAATTTCGTGTACCAGGCCTCTAGTATTTTATAAAATAGAGAAATATGTTTTAAGCATATTTATATGATGAGATAAAGAAAAAAATGAGTCCCACAGCATCTGAAAGAGCTTAGTGGGAAGTTGGTGGATTTTTGAGCACACAAATATCTAGGACTAATTTGTTTTGGAAGAAATTAACTAAAAATGTATCAAAGAAACATGAAAATAACAAATCAAATAATTACCCTTTTTATGTAGTTCTTTATAGTTTTCTGTAGCTATAACAAAGCTTTCTTTGTCTCCTTCAAATGACCTCTGCATGGACCAAAAGGAGTGACACTCCTGTGTCAAAAAAGAGAAAGAAAAAATAAGACAAGGATCAAAGCAACACATTCTGAATATAAAATATTCAGTGAAAGATAAGATTCCTTAAGTGATATTTAAGATATTTGCTAAAACATTAAAAGGTGTCAACCTTCATAGGAGGTGGGACTCTGTGAAACCTGTTTAACTAGGTTAGTCATCACTTTGAAAAGTGTGAATCCCTTGGCATAGCCATCATTCAGCTGTTCCCATAAACCAGTCATATGCCTCTTGTACAAAACACACTCAGTTTAAACTTCTGCGAGGAATTTTGGTTTGGAAAACAGGTGCAGAAATGTAACTAGCCCTGGTCTCCTTTAGCAGACAGAAGTTGTAGCAAGCAAACCCTTCTAAAGGAAGAGCAGAAATGCAACATCACAGGGCTTAGCGGCCTTAAAAGAAACACCAGTTTCACTGACTTGTACACTTTGTTGGGTCTTCTTGGACAATTCTAATTTTGAAAGCAATTATCCTCATATTGAGTTGAAATTTATTTCTCTATAGTTTCTACCCATGGCTCCTCTTTTTTTCTCTCTGGGACAAAGGAATATGAAATATGTATTTAAAATATCAGCTCAGATATCATGTTTTCCACCACCACCACCCCCCCCCCCCCCCCACCCCCTTTTCCAAGATTTT